TATTATGTTTTTTAATTGTCAATTTTTAATCAAAATATAACCTTTTTTTTTCGTTCTAACGCTATTTATTAATTATACAATGTTAAATGAATCACTCAGGTATTGCACAAAGTTGCCGATTGTTTAGAATATCTGAATATTTTCAACAAGTGCAAGGGCAAATACAAAACGACAATCTTATTAAAAATGATCAGGGTACGTATATATAAGTTAAATGCCATTTATGATTTAATAATTTTAATGCTATACAAAAAAAAAACATTAACAAGGTTTTATATGAGCAAATGCTTTATTTAAAGTTGTCCTACTTTCTCAGCAAAAAAGATGGCCAAATTTAAATCGATCGAACAAATGGTTAAGAGCCTAAAAGGGCTTAGAATGCGAAAAAACATGGAAAAAAAATACATTTTTTTTTTTGATTACAATTAATAATAATATAATAAATATTTTGGGTAATTTGTCAGAGTAGATCATTAAATTGCATGCAAAAATTAATATTTAATTGAAAGAATTAGTATATCTGACTAATTTTGAAAACGAAGGATTTGGTAATCACATGAAATGTGGATTTTTTTTAGATTTTTTTGTCTCTCAAAATCCATAATCAAATTAGGAAATACCCAGTTTTCAGATTTGATTGGACCCTTATAATAGTTGATCCCTTACGAGTCAGTAGCACAAAGTCGGTAATTTAGAAGAAAAGTAGTTTAGTAATTATATGTAATTCTCAAGAGCAATCATTCTATTTATCAAAGTTATGTTATGGCGACGCCGTATCCACCCGCATTGAAACCCATAGAATCTCTCACACTTCATGAGAAATTGTTGAAAATTGGTCGAAACATTCCATGCACAGGTGACGTTCCGCAAGGGCATAATAAGTGTAGTTGTCTTGGTTGGAAACCAAAGATCAACAACACTGGACGTGCAGATCTGTGCGAATGTGGTCATCGTGTTAGCTTGCACGGCAATATTAATTCGTGTACGCAGGATGAAATACATCAACGTCTGGAAATAGCCATGAAAATCGATGAACTTTTGGAATCAAAGAATAAACTTCTCGATTTTGATTATGAAGATCAGGAAGTGAGGAATTTGAAACGGTATAAAAAATCTTAAACTGACTTTATAATAATGCTTTTCTCACATAATTTCAATTTTCTTATTAAAATTTTATTCACAATGATAGGCAACTCATTTCTATATGTGAAACATCTTCTAATAATTCAACAAAACGAAAGTTTGTTGATGATAATGATCCTAATTCAAATGTGCGTAAGATAATCGAACGTGATATTAACGTTCCTGACAAATTTGCTATGATCGAGGAACGTGAAGGTGTTATAACTATGAAAGTATTATCAAATAACGGTGATCGTGAAAATCTTAAACTGTTGACTGGTCTAAAAAATTTGATTAAAATTCAGTTGCCAAATATGCCTCCAGAATATATTACTCGTCTTGTGTATGATAAGTAAGTTATATATTTTATATTTAATTTTATGAATAAATATTACTATAAATGTATGTATTTTTATTGATATAGTAAAAATATTTAGGCAGCATTATTCCTTGTCAATTGTCAAAGACGGTGGTCGTGTTGTTGGTGGAATTACATATAGGTTATTCCCAAAAAACAAATTATCTGAGATTGTCTTTTGTGTAGTCAGTTCGACAGAACAAGCTAAGGCATGTTTTAAGATTTATTATTTATTTTATTATTTATTTTATTTTGTATTTTTTTTTTAATTTTGTCTCACTATATCGTCATAAATTTTATTAATTTCGTTCATTACTATTAACTTATTGAATATAGGGTTATGGTTCTCATCTTATGAATCATTTAAAAGATCACCTCAAAGATAAAGAAGGTATAAAATTTCTAATGACCTACGCTGACAATCACGCCATGGGTTTCTTTAAGAAAAATGTGAGTAATATTGTTTCTATAATCAAATTTTTTATTTTACCCATACTTCAATAGATCTTTTTGTCTGTTAGGGCTTCACAACCGATATTACTTTAGAAAAAAGTTTATGGATGGGTTTCATTAAGGATTATGATGAAGCTACGATTATGCAGGTATTTATATCGTTGATACATTTATTAAATGTTAATTATGTTATTTAATGTGTATAATTAATTTATACTATGTCTTAATTTCGTTACGATTATAATATAGTGTACGATGATCGATAAAGTGAAATACCTTCAATTACACAAGATTCTTGCTCAACAAAAATTGGTATCATTATTACATTAAATTGACTTTTTCGTTATAGCAGTTTCTTATTTTTTTTTATTATTATAGGCTATTAGAATTAAAATTGATGAACAGAAAAAGAATACGCGTGTGTATAAAGGATTAAGTTACATAAAAAACAGTAAACAACCTATAGATCCATTGTCGATTCCAGGGATAAGTAAGCATATTTATTGCCGTTTAACTTTAGTGCTTTAGTGCTTTTATTAACATGCCTTTTCAAAATTCTGTAGAGGAATCTGGATGGACACCGGCAATGGAAGCTCTGTAAATTCCTTGTATTTATTTATTTATTTTGCATTCCGAGTTCTATCCGATAGTCTAATCAACCAATATTGTTTCAGTGCGCGTGGAAATAAAAAATCTATTCGCAATATTATGATAAACATTTCATCTGAATTGAAGAAGCATCCAAAGTCATGGCCATTTCGAACTCCAGTTAATGGTGATGAAGTTCCTGATTATTACAAAGTTATCAAGAATCCAATGGGTATTTGAAAATTTTCATATTTGTATTAATTGGTATTTAACTTTTTAATATGCTCTCGCTAATAATTATTGAACATCGTAAATTTTCTTAGATCTTTCCAAAATAGAATCAAAAGTAGAAAATAACTGTTACAAATCTATTGAAGAGTTTGCACACGACGTGCGGATTATCTTTCATAATTGCAAGGTTTATAATGCGGATGGTACTGTTTATGTTAAGTGTGCGACAGGTCTTGAAAAATATTTTGACGACCGATTAAAGTTTTACGACGTGCCCGTTAGTGCAGGTCATAAAAAGGTATTATTAAGTTATTTATCCTTTCTTCTTGTTCTATTTATGCTCTTCAATCACTAACTATCATATATTTTGTGTATGATTAAGGAATAAAACGTTCCTTTCATTATAGCAACAAATTTATATTTATCATTTCGTTTGAATTGATATAGATGAAAAACCTTTGTTTATTTTATTATCAATTTTTAGAATAGGATTAATTAATTTTACATTGTACATAGTAATATACCCATCTGTTTAACCTAGATATAACATATATTTTAAATAGGTAATGTGATTATTTTTACCTTTATTCTATTCGAATTGAGAATTTTTCATAAAACATTCATTATTGTATATTGTCAATTAGCATAATTTTGTATATAGGTTAGGATTTACTTGTTTTAATAAATATCAATTTAATGATTTTGTATCAGTGATATTAATTTGTTAGATATTGTTCAATTTATAGTGGGAACAAAAAAAAAACAAAATATACAAGGTATTTTTTATATATCGATTAGAATAATGAGATGGATATTAAAAAACAACCACGTTATTTTTGGAAAAAACGGTGTAATTATTATTATTTTTTATTTAAAAATCTGCTATAAGTTGTAAATTTTGATGTCAAGCTATTTATGCATACTCCAATTAAAAGTGTTTTTTGCGTAATTTCTCTAGGAATTCTAAGCATTATACAATTTTTACAAATTTTTTTGACTCAATAATACATAAAAGTTTGATCTAATTTTTTTTTAATTCCGTAATAAAGATATACAGTAAACAATTTACAATTTTTTATTTACAATAATTAACATGACTATTTCCGATTAAAATTTACATTTTATTGTGGTGTGGCCTTCAATTTACAAACATAGTGCAGATCATAGTAAAGATTTTTGAACGACATAAAGTAATAATTTGGTTCTTACAAATTATTCGAAATTTTTAAGTAAAAAACTAGAGATTTATTGCGTTACACAACATGCAACGATGTTACATTTTTGATGTTTTTATTAAAAAAGCATCAAAAACGAGAATTTTGCATAGAAACTGAAATTAAAATTTGACCAGGCAAGTGCTGAGTAGTCTTCGTTTAAAGTTTAGGTGCTTATAAAAAAAAGCAGCGACCAAATTTTTTTTAATGAATGTTTCTCACCAAGTGAGTCTTCCAAACAATGAAAAATAAAAAAAGGGCGTTATTATTATAAAGAGTATGTTGAGGAATTTACAAATAAGGGCCCCGGAAAGTGGCCCAAATTAAAAATAATTACATATAAGGGCCTAAATCTGGATCACAGGCTTATAACGATAGCAAAATCGCGATTATAGGATTATTGATTGATTTATTATAGACATTTAGAGTTATCTATATATGATTATTAGATAAAAGGATAAATGAAGTGCTAGTTATAATCATTTTCGCACAATTATTCATAAGGCGAAGTTTCAATCTCTAAAGCTGAACGAACATCTTCTAAATTAGTAAATATCATGCCAATTCGCAATGTTTACTTGGCATCATAGTGGTTTGTTATAACAATAAGCAGTTTCATACAAAGAAAAAATTTTCTTTTCAATTGATCGTTACATTTTTTATGCGATGCTTACGTTTCTTATACATAATGATCAAGCCACAGGCGTGAATAGCGTCACGGTTATTTTGGGCCCTTATATGTAATTTTTTAAAAACTAGGCCCTTATTTGTCACTTCCCGGGCCCTTATTTGTAAATTACCCTAAAATAAATTATTTTTAATAGTAAATGTAGGCTATAACTATTTATTATATCTCATGAGCCACCCAAATTATATAATTGCTAATAATTGAGGAGTCACAACTTTCTAATATTATGATTAGAGATATGAGTGTCGCCAAAAGAAAACCCGACAATTTAAATATAGTCTATTTAAATTGTCGGGTTTTCTTTTGGCGACACTCATATCCACAAGCCTAACTTAGCATGATAATTAAATAATTAATTCGTGATCCACATAAGAACCAGTGAAATTAATTAGTAAATTGTGGAGAAATTTACTATTAAATTTTGCCTTTTTTGGAATCTGGAGTTTCCCAAAGAAAAACTTTTTTCTTTACTAAGTAAAGATCTTTTCAAGCTTTAAGTAAAGCTGTGTAGGAGGTTCTTGCGATCAAAATGGCGGTTAAAACGTTAAAATCGGCCCAGTAGATCGCGAGATATAAGTACTTTAGTCTTCGCGACTATATGTTTTCTTCTTTATAAATAAAGAAAACATATAGTCGCGAAGACTAAAGTATTTATATCTCGCGATCCACTGGGCCGATTTTAACGTTTTAACCGCCATTTTGATCGCAAGAAACTCCTCTACAACTTTACTTAAAGCTTGAAAAGATCTTTACTTAGTAAAGAAAAAAGTTTTTCTTTCGGAAACTCCAGATTCCAAAAAAAGGCAAAATTTATATAGTAAATATATCCCCACTTTTTACTATGTTTTGTCACTGGTTCTTAGGCGGATCACAAATTAATGAATGAAATATTATTAGTCCGGAACAAACAGAGGATATATCATCATAATTTACACCAGACACATAATGTTTAGTTTATTGGCATACTGTATAGATAGAATTTTGTGTATTACTTTTTTTTGCATTAATATAAATGCCTATCCCCAATGGAACAAAAAGAATTGCAAAAAGTTTATGTTCGACAAAATCACTGACACTGATCGTTAACATTAAATTAATTTCACATATCGATATATCTGATATATAATTAATAAATAGCGTTAGAACGAAAAAAAAAGGTTATATTTTGATTAAAAATTGACAATTAAAAAACATAATA